CACTGTGCCTCCCTGGCAGGGGCTGGACTAGGTGTTCGAGTTTTGTAGTTCAAAGATTATAACTTCTGAGATGTCTTAATAGGACACAGTCAAGCCCATCTGATGTAATGGTCAGTTACAGTTCTGGATTATCTGAAATGATCAGGCATGCTAGGTTATGTTGATTAACTTGTCTTGGCAGAAGCAGGTGAGCAAACTAGGAAACAATAATCCATTTCTTAGTGCTGTATTACATCTGAACCAACATGTTGCTCTTCTAATAAGAGAATCCTACTCTGTTGCCCTTTGGAGAAAGTGGAGTCATAAGCCACAAACAAGAGCAACAAGCCAGGGATTCCGGTTCAGATACAATGGCAAGCAAACTACAGACAAAAGTTCCCTGGGTCATCTCCCTGCTCCTGTTTGGAGGAAGAATATAGTAGGAGAGATCAAATGGCATGTGCCAGCAAATGCGCCAATTTCCCACGCTGTGTTGTTATTGGGCAACTCAGTATTAAGAAAAGCTCTCATCCATAGCATAAAGCTGAAGATGAGACTGCAAAACAAAGAATTAAGCAGCTCTGTTAGTAGCTTTAACACGGCTATGGCACACTAGTTTTTAATGCTTGCCCTATGGCTGTTCAGTTTTAAAAAAACATTTTAGTAATGGAACTGAGAAATAAGTACTGTACTGTAAAAACTTTTTCCTACAGCCCTGAAGTCACCGAAAGGTCCATCAAGTTTGTAGCATGCCTATACTCTGCCTATTTGCCACATGAGCTTTCAAATACTCTGTGTACTATGGCCCTCAGAAATGGAGCCTAGGTCGATTTTTACCTTGGACTTTCTGTTGCAGAGTTTTGAATGTTTGGTTAGATTTCTCCGAGTAGCAGAAGTGCATGGATTTACAAATAGCTTCAAGTCCCCCAATGCAGTCTGCCCCCTTTCTCAACTGGCACTTACAATCTCGCTTACTCAATGACATGAGTAGGAGAAAGAAGAAAAAGTTTTATAGTTTACAAATCAAGAGACCAAACAGCAAACTGACAAACATGGCTGCTTTCAGCAACAGACCTTGGCAGACTCTAGAGGAGGGGAGGGGGAAGCACTGAGCAGAAAGGTTAGGCTCTCTTTGAATTCAGTTGCAGGGAGTGATTGGTTAGTGCTAGATAGATTGATCTATCTAGAAAACTCTCTTCCGTTCAAAACTACTAAAGGCAGCATGCAAGCTTGCAAAAACTCCCGACACTTTCAGCAAGTGATGATGATCACCAGTGATCTGTGCCATCCCATCAGCTTCTTGAAGGCAACTGAAAGGCTCAACTTAATCTGCCTGTCTTTTCAGGAGTAGCTATAGTGACCTGTATCTTGGACAAATTTCTGTTTCTTCCATGTGCCACAGTATTTGTCACCTGCACAGTAAACTCTTGGGGCTCTTATATCTCTGACATTGACTGGATAAGCAACTTTCTAGACTTGTAGAGCAATCACCTCACAGATAGCAGTTCTTTTTTTTTAAAGATTATGTGAATGAAACGAAACTTGCTTTAATGTTTTCAGATGAAGAATGTCGCGGTGCCCCAAATGCATGGCAATGCAATGATGGGAAGTGTATTGATGTTACCTGGCTCTGTGATGGTATTAGCGATTGCATGGATGGGTCGGATGAGAAGAACTGTGGTAGGTACAAACCACCTTCCCTCAATTTGCCAAGCTGTTGGAGAAAGCAAAGCATTTTTATGTGCCTGATGTTAATGCTTGCCTTTCAATAGGTAGTTCTTAACTAGAGGAGGGTGTGCTGCTACAGAAAACCTTTGGTGCTGAAGCCACAAAGCAGAGCCCAACTTATTTTTTTCCTAATATCAGACAGGAATTTATAGTTGCACATCCATTAACAGGAAGCAATGTGCATGAAGTCTCTTATAATTATAAATTATAGAGCATGCGTGCTATACAGCTACAGTCCCTCTTTGTTAGTTCAGATCAGAAAGGTAACAAAATTGTGTCTTAGTGGAAAGGGTAGGACTTCTCAGTCCAGGGCTTCAAAATGTTTGCCTCCTAGTGGCTGAAAGTTGAAGTAACAGAATTCAAAACATGGATCACAGAAACGAGTGTGGAAGTTGTTCTGACACTACAGTATTATTGCAGCTTGTGCAAGGAAAAAATTGCCCTGCCGAGGAACTAATCAATGCATCAATCCATGGGAATGGTGTGATCAGCATAAGGATTGTGAGGATGGCTCGGATGAAGCAAATTGCCCCCTGAACAACTGCCTGCCTGGGCAGTGGCAATGTAAGAATAAAATCTGCATTATGGAGGATTGGAAGTGCAACGGCATTGACAACTGTGGAGACAACTCGGATGAAGAAGTCTGTGGTGAGTAGCGTCCTGTAATCTGGAAGATGGTTAGATGCTTTTTGGTTCAGGCATTTAAAACTTTGCATCTTAACACGCCCCTGAAATGTCTCAATCTGAAGATGTTTAACAGTGAAGAGACTGTGAGACCACAGCCTTTAGGAGATAGGATAGGTTAACATACTGGAAAGTAATAATTTATTTGCTGTATGCCCATGTTGCAAATAAAGATTTTCTTAGCAGTAACTTAGTCTTTCCTTATATACAGGATTTCATTTTGTTGGAGGGTTAAAACAGAGTGGCTAAAGATCAATAAGTTTAAAGTTTTAAATTTAAAAAAATGGATTTTTTACTTTAAATTTTTAAAACTTGAATGGTCAAAAACCATTTCCCCCCAATTCAAATGGAGATTTAAAACAATTTGGTTTAAATGAAATACACCCTGGTTAAAAATGTACCATTGGATGTTTTTATAGCTCATACAATGGTTAAATAGGGTCCAATAATCCTGTACATAAATTCATAATTAAATGTGCTTGTCTACCATTAAAATGCAAACATGGCCAGAATTGCTTATAAGTATATTGCTTATAAGTATATTAACAGTATTAAATTATGTATACGTATGTGTGTGCCTCTCAAAACCAATGGTTTCTATTGTTATGTTCAGTAAGTAACTTCCACCATTTTTAATTGTGCTTATCTGCTCATTAAAGAGCAGGTCGGGTAGGTGGGGCTCGTCAGCCATGGAAGGCAGCCCATCTAGGAGAAGGAAAACTCCGATTTCAAACCTCCACTGCCTTGTGGCTATATCCACTCATGGAAAAGGCTTCAGGAGTTAACCTCGAGGCAAAATCCAGAGCTGCAGTCCCGAAGGCAGCTCGTGTTGTTCTGCCAACTCCTGCGACATTGCTGGAACCAGTTGTATTGGCTCTTGCCTTTCCATTGGACCATTTCAGCAATGTGGAGAGGGGGGATCTGCTGCTTGGGTAACAGCCGATCCTCCATATTACCTTACCCGGGCTTCGTGCTCTGGAGAGGACACTCCTCAATTCAGAGCATGTCACCATAGTCTCTCGAGACTGAAGGATGCCTATGAGTATGATGATGAAGGGGGGCACTATAAAAAAATGCAGTGCATTTAATTTAGACTAGGCCTGACAAGTGTCTGCTATGTACAGTCATCTAAAAACTAAACTACTTTTTTATATACATTGCTAGAAATGTTCATCATTAACAGATGTTTTTAATAGGGTGCCAATGCTGATAGCCTAACAAAGTGAGTGATTGTGGCATGCACTCGGCTGCACGATTAACTGGATGGTATCACATTTCGAACTACATGCAAAAGGCTGCACTTGGCATCAGGTTTTACATATGCAGTGCTGAAATGGTTAAAAGTTGATCCTCATCTTGACTGACTCATGTGAACTATTTGGAGTTCCTGGACTGCAAACCAGCTTATGTTAGCTATAGAGCCCTTTGGTCATATGCTTACTCCGGGTACAAGTCGTTACAGTCTGGAAGGTTATGGGCATCTCAGACTGAGATATAAAAGTATTTAATTAGCAAATTTTTACAACGTGTTGGCAATGACATGAAAAGAACTTTAAGCAATGTTTAGCAGCGTGTGTAGTCCTAACTAACTTCAACTTTTGAATACAGTTTCCTGTCCGGAAGGAATGACCCATTGTGATAAGGGGAAATGCATTCTGAATTCTCTGATGTGCAATGGAGTAACTGACTGTCTAGATGGCACCGATGAACCCAGGACTTGTGGTAATTTTTAATTGCTTTTCATAGCTAAAATTGGTGACAATGTGTTACAGCCATTGGAGGCTGATGACTCCAGTGTTGTGGGGTGATGAAGCCATGCCGGGTTTTAATTAGACTTTACAGCAGGTATCCCAGCTGCTGAACTATTAGTCCAAAAAGGAGGTTCAGCACCTTGGACAGTGCCTTTGAAGTTCAGGAGAATGCTTGGAATGGATTCATTACCTGTAAGATGAATCATCAGCCTGCACTGCTTACAGTGGAGAGTATTTGAATAATTGCCTTTTGTTCTATACATCTAGGTAATAAGTGTTCTCTGAGCAACGGAGGCTGCATGGATACATGTGCTGATACATTCTGGGGCGTGAGATGTTCATGCAGCCCCGGTTGGAGCCTTGATGCTACTGGTCAGAACTGCACAGGTATATTTTTACAAATGTCTAAATAAAATGAATACACTGAAGGCTAGAAAGGCATTTCTTTAACTTTCAACTGTAACTAATACAAATATTTTGCAGCTGAATACAAGCCTTTTTTAAAGTTACTTCTTACTAGTCACAGGCTGGTATCCTAGTGTGTAGCTCCTACTGAGCAGTGGGAAGTATGTTATCACTAGGAGCAGATTGCTGCTAATTGAAGAGTTGCTTTTCTGATTTCAGTTCGCTCAAGCATCTCATACACAAGGAGACAAAGTTGTGCAAACTTCTAATATGAAAAAAGCAACACTTTAAACAGTGCTATTCTGATGCTGACATCATTCCCATTACAGTATGCGGGCAGAGCTATGCAATAGTGTACTGGCAGATTTTTTTAACAAGGAACTAGTTATTTTTAAGTGAATTTTTAAAGGACCAATGGCCACATATCTCCCCCGATGACATTCCAAAAGCAATTTTAGTTTATTACAACAACACATTCAGCAATGCTAGTCATTCTATTAATTTCAAAAATATTGTTGCTGCCCTCAATATTTCTTAATATTAAGACATTAGAGGTAGCATTGCTAGGTGTAATACACTTTCACCACTCTATATTACACAAACAATACTAAGATACTTGAGTGAACAAAGCTTGGCAGTGGAATATTGTAAGAAATTGCAACTACATCTCATAACTTGCTGAGCAAATAATCATTCATTTTGTGGACCCTGATGATGATGCAGTACATTTACACAGAATTTCTGATTATACTGTATTAATATTCAGTTCCTGATTTACTGAATATTTGCCTTGGAGCTTTTCACTTCATATAGTGAACTTTAGCTTAGACCTGAATAGCATTTTAGGGCATTAGAAAGTTAGCAGGAAATCAACCAGTGTTTAAAACATGGTACAGAATCTTCTGGGCTCAACAGGTGCTTCTTCTATAATTCAATCTATATTCATACCCGGGGCCCAGCTTGCAAATTAATTGTCTAGCCCTGAGGGTCAAATAGCAACTGATCCATTTTTGTCTGAGGATTTCAGTAATTTGAACTATATTTGGCATGTTCTATACTGTAACACAACTCTGTTAAACAGTATGTCGGTGTGGGGATGATTTCTTTGTAGAATATTGGTAGATGCCCCTTTCCAAAACATTAAGGCAATTGTGTTGTTCCCATGAACCAATCAGGGTTGTCTGTTTGCTAATAGTATTTCCCTCGGTGGTGCCACATAGCTTTCAGGCACACTAATAGCAAACCTTTAGTCTGTTTGAACTTATATACATAGCACTTACTGTACTTTTTAATTGTAGATGTTGACGAGTGTGCGATGGCATATAGTCCTTGTAGCCAGTTGTGCAATAACACAGTGGGTTCTTTTTCCTGTGACTGTGTTCAAGGGTACCGACTCTCCAACAAAACTGCTTGTGAGGCTACAGGTAAGCCTCTAATTCACATGCACCATCTTTTCTTTCCTGACATTAAAAAAAGGCCTACTAGTTTACTAAAGGTCAATACAGGCAAAGACTTCTGTAGATGCAAGGGCATGATTACAATCATAGAGGACCTTCTTATTGGTGGTACTTCAACAAAAGCTCATTCCACTTCCTATTTTGTGAAATCTGGAACTCCCTCGGCACCTTAGGCCCGTATTCTTCCCTCAGCAGTCCCAGATATAACCAAAGCCACTTCCAACAAGAACAGCACCTTTCATGATGCAGGCCAGGTTGTCTCGAGTTGCTGTCCTCTTGTATGAGTTTGTGCAATATTTGTACAACTAAGCCCTGTGAAACCAAAGGTACAGATGCCTTTATTTTCTAGAGGCCCAAGAGATGCCGTCTTGGGCCCATGCAGTGAAAGCAATTAAATGCAGTCACAGATTAGTCACTTTGGCATTTATGTAACAAGCAACCAAACATCTCTTTAAAGTTTAAGTTTATAAAAGTTTTTTTAAAACCTTCATGAACTAAAGCTAGCAATTAAGATCTACTTCTGTGCAAGTGCACTACAGTACTTGAATTCTGATGGCAATGACTTAAGCTGAGATCACGGCTGCCTTTTGCTAGTCAAATCGAAACTACAGCTGCAATGAGGAACTGGTAGTACTTCAGATGTTGATGAGTTGTTGCCTTAATAGCTTACCGTGGGCCAGATTTATGGGAGGTGATGGGAACTGGAGTCCCACAGCAACTGGACATCCATAGGTTCCTAATTCACTGCAGTGTCATCAGAGTGCTACCTAATGACCCTATTTTAGGGCAGCCATTCTCAACTTTTTTTTTGTCATGGCCATAAACATAATATGAAAGAAATATAGGATAAATCAGGATTGTAGAAGTTGCACAGGGAACCTTATAAATGTGTGAAGTGTTTCCAGTCTGTAGCCCCTTCAAATGTGCCAGGGCTCCCCTAGGGGGGTGGGTCATGTGGCCCCTGTTGAGAATAGCTATTTTAGTCATGTGATACATGATAATACAATCAACTTGGAAATGAGCTGATGATGATACCATTTGGTAGTACTCCAAGTTTAAACTGGGGTCAACAACTTTGGATTTAGCCACTAGTTTTACATTTCTGGATCCTCTGGGATCAAATGTGCCAGGGCTCCCCTAGGGGGGTGGGTCATGTGGCCCCTGTTGAGAATAGCTATTTTAGTCATGTGATACATGATAATACAATCAACTTGGAAATGAGCTGATGATGATACCATTTGGTAGTACTCCAAGTTTAAACTGGGGTCAACAACTTTGGATTTAGCCACTAGTTTTACATTTCTGGATCCTCTGGGATGGATAAGTTGCACAGGGAACCTTATAAGTGTGTGAAGAAGTGTTTCCAATCTGTAGCCCCTTCAAATGTGCCAGGGCTCCCCCAGTGGGGGGGGGTCATGTGGCCCCTGTTGAGAACAGCTATTTTAGAATCATGTGATACGTGATAATACAATCAACCTGGAAATGAGCTGATGATGATCCCATTTGGTAGTACTCTTAAGTTTAAACTGGAGTCAACAACTTTGGATTTAGCCGCTAGTTTTACATTTCTGGATCCTCTGGGAACTACACGGTCCCCCCCACCCCTCCCTGAAAGCAAATGTGACAAGTTCACTGGTATTCCAAACAATTGGCTTTGGGGGTATTGAATGATTTGGGGTGGGGGTGTCACTGTAGCCTATTTCAGTGGTTCTTAACCTTGGGTTACTCAGGTGTTTTTGGACTGCAACTCCCAGAAGCCTTCACTACCAGCTGTGCTGGCTGGGGTTTCTGGGAGTTGCAGTTCAAAAACATTACACGGTTCCCCCCCCCAACCCCTCCCCGAAAGCAAATGTGACAAGTTCACTGGTATTCCAAACAATTGGCTTTGGGGGGTATTGAATGATTTGGGGTGGGGGTGTCACTGTAGCCTATTTCAGTGGTTCTTAACCTTGGGTTACTCAGGTGTTTTTGGACTGCAACTCCCAGAAGCCTTCACTACCAGCTGTGCTGGCTGGGGTTTCTGGGAGTTGCAGTTCAAAAACACCTGAGTCACCCAAGGTTAAGAACCACTGGCCTATTTAAACATGAATTGCTACTTTGGGAAGTGGGCCTCTAGGAGCAGCCATTCACCTTTCCTGAGTGAACAAAAATATTTTTGTCAAGGAGATCAAAGGGACTCTGGGTGGAGCTAGGAATTTCCAAAACAGCTGGAACCATGCTTTACCCAACGCTGGTTTGTACATACTTTATTACAGGTAAAATAGTCCTTGGTAGATACTTAAAAAAAGTGAGGAGGAATTAAAGAACTTAATGAGGGTGAAAGAGGAGAGCGCAAAAATGGTCTGAAGCTTAACATCAAAAAAACTAAGATCATGGCCACTGGTCCCATCACCTCCTTCCAAACAGAAGGGGAAGATAAGGAGACAGTGACAGATTTTACTTTCTTGGGCTTCATGATCACTGCAGAGGGTGACAGCAGCCATGAAATTAAAAAATCCCTGCTTCTTGGGAGGAAAACGATGACAAACCTAGACGGCAACTTAAAAAGACATCACCTTGCGGACAAAGGTCCACATAGTCAAGAGCTGTGGCTTTTCCAGTAGCAATCCAAACAGAATTGGAAGATATGGAGACAGTGACAGATTTTACTTTCTTGGGCTTCATGATCACTGCAGAGGGTGACAGCAGCCATGAAATTAAAAAATCCCTGCTTCTTGGGAGGAAAACGATGACAAACCTAAACGGCTGGACTGAAGGAAATCAACCCTGAGTGCTCCCTGGAAGGACAGATACTGAAGCTGAGGCTCCAATACTTTGGCCATCTCGTGAGAAGAGAAGACTCCCTGGAAAAGGCCCTGATGTTGGGAAAGTGTGAAGGCAAGAGAAGGGGACGACAGAGGACGAGATGGTTGGACAGTGTCACTGAAGCTACCAACATGAATTTGACCCAACTCTGGGAGGCAGCGGAAGACAGGAGGGCCTGGCGTGCTCTGGTCCATGCGGTCACGAAGAGTTGGACATGACTTAACAACTAAATAACAACAAAAAGATACTAAAAAACAAGCAGGAGGCTAGAATAGTCAGACAACTTTAGATAGCTTAGAAAAGTTGATTTTACATAGAAAAAGTTGTGTAATGGGTTCTTAAGTTGAGAAGCCGTCCCGTTGATGACCATAGGGTACAAAATATAAAAGATTCAGACCATGTGTATTCATGTGAATTTGTAATGAAGGCCCCACATTAAACGTTTGATCAAGATTTTAGGGAGAACAAGACTACCTGGAAATAAGAATGTAGAGATCAAAATTCCTTGCTTCAGCTGAAATAGTGGGAGAAGTATTTAATTCCTGTTGTAATGTATTTGCCTGGATGTGATTTTTAGATAAATTATCCAAAAATTTTTTGCAGGACCCAATTTACTCAAGTTCCATTACTGGATTATATCTTTTCCTATTCAGTTGCATGGTATTAATTTACCTAGTAATATCAAGCAGACTTGCATCGGAGATAAGGACATTCTCCTTTAAAGAAATCCTAATGCCTACATTTTGTGGGCTCAACAATTCTAGTTTAGTCTAATTTTTTTAAAAAAAAATTCTTCCAGATGGTGCTACCAAAATATTGTTGGGTGTTGGTCACGAACTTGCCCTTTTGGATATGAAAACTCTCAGTTTGGAGCCTCTAGTCTCTACAGACACAAAACCAGCTTCTGTTGCCTATGATTTGTCAAGAAAAAAATATTACTGGATCAGTGAAGAGTACAAGCTGCATGTTTTTATGTTTGGCAAAAATGAAATTCTTCTCTATCAAGGTAAGCCTTTTACTGTATTCCATGTAAGTCCTAAGCCAAGCTTGGTTCATTCAGCACCTTTACCCTACCCCTAAACCAATGGAAGATATGCAATTTGGTATAGTGGATAGAGTGATGGATGTAAGACTAAGGAAGTCTAGGTTCCAATCTCTGCTCCCCAAGGACATTCAGTAGGGATGTGGAACTTGGTAAAACCACATTTTAAATATCTCACTTACCTTGAAAACCCTGTTATGACTTGATGGCATATGACAACTGCAAACTACTGGAAGCACAGGTTAAGTTGCAGTGAGAGCCAGTGCACTATAAGGGGTAATGCTGAGCTAGGATAAGCTTGACCTGCATTCAAATTCTCCTCTGGTTATGGGCTGACTAACCTTAGGCCAGTTTTGCATTTGGGTCTGGCCTGCTTCACATGGTTGCTACCGTGTTTTCCTGAAAATAAGACAGGGTCTTAAATTAATTTTTGCTTCAAAAAACATGTTGGGCCTTATTTTCAGGGGATGTTTTATTTTACAGTCATGTCATCTTCTGGTTGCTGCACAATGGTGAAGCGCAGGGTTTTACTTAATTAGGGCTTATTTTGGGGGTAGGGCTTACATTACAAGCATCCTGAAAAATCATACTAGGGCTTATTTTTGGGGAAACAAGGTATAAATTTAAAGTTGGGCAAGCCATGTCAACTGCATTTTTTCCTTTTCTCTGGGAAAGGAAAAAATGAAATTCAAGGCAAAGAAGTCAGTGCCTGTTTAAATCTTAACACAGTAAATTAAACAACACTTAAGCATTAGAGATTTCTTGATAACCTACCAGAAGCCCTGAAAGGAAATGCAGATTAGCTGGGTGGGAAACTGTGAGTGTGTTTTCCTCGCATGCAAAAAATCTAGAAATGCTCACTGAGAAGTGGGTGAAAAAAAGATACATGGCATAAGAACAGAATCCTGCAGGCTGTCCTTATGGTTAATGGGCCAGGATCACATTCTGTTTTAAGCAAGTTCTCTTTAGCAAAAGAATGGTACACTTCCAGTGAGATACTAGATTCCTGTGCCTTGTAATGTGGTAAATGAACTAAATAAAATTCAGGGGCTGGGTGGCCAGTGAAAGGCACTCCAGAGGTAACCACAAGGATTTGTTCTTCTCATGCACCCAAGGGGAAATGTATAACAGCCCTCCTACAGGATGTTGTGACGTTCCCTTATCCAAAAACTGATTAAAGTTGTCCCTCCTACAGGAGATTGTGACGTTGTTCCCTTATCCAAAAACTGATTAAAGTTGATGCGTTAATGCCAAACAGGTAGCTCACAATTTGCTTTCTAGGATTTGGGGGGGGGGGAGAGAGAAAAACATGGCCTGAGATGACTAAATCTCTATAATCCTCTCTGTAGATATCAGTGGTATCAACAGCATATCTGTAGACCAGTTCACAGGACAGTTATACTGGGCGAGTAGCTCACCTGATGCCATCTTTGCTGGCTTGAGTGATGGCAGAGGATATGTGAAGATCCTAGAGAAGGAGATGATGCCGGAGCAGCTGATTACATTTCCAGAAAAAAGGTAAGAGTACCTGAGTTGACATGGTGTAACAGAGCCAGTCCAAGGCTTTTTGCTACCAGAGACAGAATAGCTCTCCACTTGCCAGGGTCAAGATACGGGTTTTATGTAGCATGAAGCCCTTTGAACTGTTCCAGATTTTAACCAGCTCAGCCTTAGATGGGCTTTGTTTGCAGAGTTTGTGCATTCTGAGAACTCTGCGCTGCTCTTGCCAAATGGCAAAGTACTAGTGCAACGCTCTGATGTTCTGTCTCTCTCACAGATACATGTATTGGGTGAATCGAGGTGGAAAAGGCAGAACTGTCATAGAAGCTGCAGGGATGGATGGTTCAGACAGGCATGTGCTCACAGTCGTAACCATGGAAGAGCCCGTGGGGCTGACTCTCGATCCCATCACAAGCAGACTGTACTGGATCAGCGAGTACAAAAAGGTATGGAATCCACACAAATTCAAAAAATGTTTTGCTGTGTGAGCTCTTGGAGCCCTCAATTGCGTCAAATGGAGGATGCAGTTCTGAAGGTGGTAGGGATGGCTCTTGACCCATCAGCTCATTCAGCTTGAGCTGAGCCAACACAATTGGATGATCCTGGCTGCTGTTAGAAACATGTCTTGTTCTTTTCCGGTTCCACCAAGTGTATAGAGGAGCCCTGGTGTCTCATAATTCAGCATTCCCAACTTGCTGCCATCTTGACATTTTGGATTGTAACTCCTTTGATCCCTCAACGTTGGCCTTGTTGGCTAGGGCTGATGAGAATTGTAGCCCAGGTATCCAGAAGATACAACATTGGGAAAAACTGCTGCATCTCAACATTGTCTCCACATGGCTCTGCTTACTCTGGGCTGAACCACCGCCTCTTCTACATGGTTAACCTTCATATAGAGTTAAAACTTTGCCTGCTTAAACATCCATCTCAATAGTATTTGACTTGACTACATAGCCGGGTTTTTTCTATAGAATGGGGAAATTCCCCTCCACCACTTTATTACTTGAGCCTAAGTATCTGTTTCAGCTGACTACCTTAACCCTGAAGAATATTTGCAACCAAATGATGCTCCTCCCTGCAGTGAGCCAAGTATTATGATGCTAGACTTAGTCTTTGTGCAGGATCCCTGCCCCGAGGTAACCCCTAGACCTCCAGGTAGAGTACAGTTCCTTTATTTACTAAAACATTAAAAATTCTAATAGCAGCCTAAAGAGGGAGCTCGGCAAAAAGAGCTTGCCCAGAACAAACATGTTTGCAAAAAGCAGTGGCGATTCAGGTAAATTCTCTCCTGCTGAGTTCTTAAGAAGAGCAGTATGATATCGAAAGGGAAATTATATGTGAAATTGCTACGATGGAGCAGTGAATCCAAACTAAAGCAGAAGTAGATGAAATGCCCAAATGGCATGGTATGCAAGAAGGTTGGCTTTCTGGATTGTATTATGGAATCCTTGTTCGTATAAGATATTCAACTGCCTAAGGGGTGCATGACCTTTCTTTTATTATTTTTAATTAGGGCTAAAAGAACCTGAATGCACCAGTCTCATCTTAAATTATGGATGCTGCTTTTCATATTATAAATAAGCATTTTTTAAAATTGCTGGTAGTATATTAAACAACTTATGCTGTTTTTTTAGTTGCATTTCTTATTTAATACTTTTTTATAAATAGCCTTGAAATAGCATTGTTTAAAGAGAGGTCTATATAAGTCTTGATGCAACCTATGTATATCTTATTAATATACCCAGTGGATTGGTCACATAACTGTTTTTGTGGGGGAGGTAGGGGTAATTGGTAGGGCAAGTTATAAGCCAGAATTCTACTGGTGATTTGCGCTTAAATGGTGGTGGCCAATTCCCACTCATTAGCAAGGTGCTGGTTGTATTCCTGGGTGTGTGTCCAGACATGTAAAAAGTGCCTTCTCAATGAGTGGCGGTTGGCCGCTATGTGAGATCTTTTACACAAGCATGAATTAGCAATATGTATGTAGGCATCCTTCAATCTTGAGAGACTATGGTGACATGCTCTGAATAAAGGTCTTGAAACAATGTCTAGTGTGGCTGAGAAGGCCAATTCGAGAGTGATAGTCCCTTCCACCCTGAAGACAAATACAGTCTGTTCCTTATCTAGCAACCTGATTTTGCTGGTTTCGGGACTGCTTCTTTGACTCGGCCTGTTGAATAAGTGTCTCTTCAAATTGGGAGAGGCCATGCTGCACCGCCTGCCTCCAGGCTGAACGCTCAGATGTCAAGGTTTCCCGTCTGTTGAGGTCCATTCCTAAGGCCTTCAGATCCCGTCTGCAGATATCCTTGTATTGAAGCTGTGGTCTCCCCCTGGGGTGATTTCCCTGCACTAATTTTCCATTCAGGAGATCTTTTGTAATCCAACCAGCAGCCATTCTCACGACATGTCCAAGCCAACATAGACATAGGTGATTCAGTAATGTATACATGCTAAAAATTGTTCTAGGACTACTCTATTGGGAACTTTGTTCTGCCAGGTGATACAAAAAATGTGTCGGAGACACCACATATGGAACGTGTTCAGCTTCCTCTCCTGCCGTGCACAAAGGGTCCAGGACTCACTGCAGTACAGGAGTGTACTCGTTACACAGGCTCTATAGAACTGGCTCTTGGTGTATGCCATAAGCTTCTTATTAAGCCATACTCTCTTTGTGAGTCTAGAGAACATGGTGGCTGCTTTGCCAATGCGTTTATCCAGCTCGACATCTAGAGAGAAAAAGTGTCGGAGATCGTTGAGCCAAGGTACATGAAATCATGAACCCCCTCCAGTTCTTGAGTAGAGATGGTAATAGAGGGAGGTGAGTCCATGCCCTGGCCCATGACTTGTGTTTTCTTCAGGTTGATTGTTAATCCAAAATCTAGGCAAGCCTTACTAAAATGGTTCATAAGTTTTTGGAAGTCTTCAGCAGAATGGGCAGCAACAGCTACATCATCGGCAAAGAGGAAGTCCCGCATGCATTTCAGTTGGACTTTGGTCTTCGCTCTCAATCTAGAGAGTTTAAAGAGCTTTCCATCTGATCTAGTCTGGAGATAAACACATTCTGTTGCAGTTTCAAAAGCGTGCTTCAGCATGGCAGCAAAAAAGATCCCAAACTGTCAACATGAGGACACAACCCTGTTTCTCTCCTCTTTGAATGTCGAAGGGATCTGATGTTGAGCCATCAAACACTACAGTGCCCTTCATTTCTTCATGAAAGGACCTGATGATGTTAAGGAGTCGAGTTGGACATCCAATCTTGGGAAGTATTTTTAAAAAGACAGCCCTGTTAACCAAATCAAAGGCCTTTGTAAGGTCTATGAAGGCCACAAAGAGTGGCTGTCATTGTTCCCTATATTTGTCCTGCAACTGTCTAAGGGAAAATATCATGTCACTGGTGGATCTATTAGCTTGAAATCCACACTGTGATTCTGGATAGACTCTGTCTGCAAGCACCTGGAGCCTCTTCAGCACTACACAGGCAAGCAGCTTCCCTACAATGCTGAGAAGAGAGATGCTATGGTAGTTATTGCAATTTCCCCTGTCACCTTTGTTCTTGTACAATGTGACGATGTTTGCATCCTTCATGTCCTGTGCTACTCTACCTTCCCTCCAGCAACGACAGATGATTTCATACAGTTGAATTGACAATTGGACCCTGGCTACATATAGGCATTAGAGATGTCATGAACTAGTGTGTCTCTTACAGGACTTTCTACTCACTATATAAATGTTTTTCTGCCCCACATGAGTGCCATGATTGACAACGGTGAATACTTGCATTAGAGATAAGCATAATGTACAAAGCTACACAAACAGGCCAACTGGGGCACCAGAATAAATGTATAAATGGCTGGGAGGCCAGTTACTCTTCTTCAGAGTTGGAAATGCTTTGTTACATTTTTCTAGTCCTCACTAGGCTTCCTGAAATGTGCATAAAGCAAAGATGAGGAAAATGTTGCCCTCCAGATGATACTGGATTAAAACTCCCATCAGCCCTAGTCAACATAGCAGATGGTGAAGGATGATAACTGCAGTCCTACAACTCCTGAGAGGCCACCTGTTCCTCATCTCTGGGCAAAAGCTGCTCCACAAGCAAGGATATGACTTCATGTTTTGAAGAGATTAAGTATTGATTGAGTGTGGATGTTTCCTGTTTCCTCATAATCACTGGGCTTAAGAATTCACTCACTAAGATTTGCTTAGTAAGTGAAAACATGCTGTCCTTGTACATCTGAGACCATCACTTGAGTTTGCCTTAAGTTTTCTCGCTGATAAGTAGCCGTCAGATCTGGGATGAGTCTTTGGAGGAAAAAGGCATGTTTGCATAGTAAACAATTTGACTTTGGATGCTTATGTACACATCTCATAGCAGCACTTCTCAATTGGCTGCATGTGCTGACAAACATGTACAGTGGGGTCTCTACTTAAGAATGTCTCTACTTAAGAACAATCCAACTTAAGAACAGCTCCATTTGCTAAATTTTGCTTCTACCTGAGAACAGAAATCCAAGATAAGAACAGGAAAAAAAACCTTTCCTGCTCTTTTTTCAACCTTAGGTCATCTTAGGTTAAAAAAAATTTCTCCCCCTAGTGGTAGAGTACGTATTAACCAGCTTTGCATTAGTTCCTATGGGAACTAATGCTTCAATGTACAAACACACCTCTACATAACAAAAAAACAGCCAGAACGGATTAATTGGTTTTCAGTCCATTCCTATGGGAAATTTTGCTTCAACTTAAGAATGTTTCAACTTAAGAACACCATTCCAAAATGGATTAAGTTCTTAAGTAGAGTTTCCACTGTAGTTTCTATGGACGGAAAAGAGCAGATACGGATTAAATGGTTTTCAATGCGTTCCTATGGGAAATGCAGATTCAACATAAGAACTTTTCAACTTGAGAACCACCTTCCAATACGGATTAAGTTCTTAAGTAGAGACCCCACTGTAGATGAACAAGAGTTAAGTTACTGGGCAATAGCTGAAGCTGCTAGTAGGAATATATGGCGGTTGGTAGTCTACTTGGTCTAAAACATGATGGCTGACTTGGCATTGCTGCCTTCTAGTCCATAGAGACCATAAAAGTAGACGGCACGGGCAGATACACTTTCCCTGAGATGCTGGCGAAAGAAGAGGACCTTCTGGGACTTGCTGTATTTGGAAACGGGTTCTTCTGGGCAGACAAAAAAAAGTTGGTTTATTCCTCCCGAACCTCTCCGGGTATCAGTGTGTTGCTGAACTCTTCAGTCTCCTCATTCGCAGTGTTGCTTGAACTACAGCAGCCTCACAGTGAGTAAACATCTTTCTGACTAATAATCAAAAAGTCTCCTCTGGTGGCAGAAATTACTCTTTTTTTCTTCCCATGCCACCACTGCATGTTGCATGAACTTAAAAGTAAGACCACCGCATTTGTAGGGCGGGACTTCTACAACAGATTCCTGTCGTCCTCAGGAAGGACCAGGTCAGTCTTTTGGATAGGGGAAATGGGCAGCTGAGTAGCCTGTTTTGGGGAATGGCTAAGGGTTCTACAACTGCCCAAAGAAAGATCCAATAGACAAAATGACTTGACCACTGCAAAACTGATTAGTTGTATTGTCAGTTCTACTTAATCCAGTTGCTGAAATCATTTCGTAACAACTATGCAGCCAGAAGGATGGTGACATTAAAAGCAGGGAGAGGTTTCTGTTAGAGACTTCCTCCTTATGTCCCATAGTAGCCATGGTTTCCATGCAATGAAACAGATTGCTTATGAATTAGATAAGCCATTGGAGAATATCAAACAGGTACTAATTATTCTTAGTTATGCTGGAGAGAATGTTAAAAAAGAGGTACTGAACTGGTGGGAATATAGAATATATTGAAATTTTGGCAGTTGATTTTTAAGGAAATAAATGAAATAATTAAATTAAATATAGAAGTAAAATGACACTTTTCTCAATATTTGACTTGGAGCCATGGAATTGGGCAATGAAAAAATTATTTTCAAGCTTATTAACAATGGCAAGTTTAATGGCATCAAGGAACTGGAAAATAAAGTATGATTTTCAATTAAATTAAAGGTTTTAAAGAGTGCAGGACACACAACAAAGAGCTCAGGTTACATTACATTGTCCCCAAAGTTTTGACAAGCTAATGTGGTAAATCAGCTGAAGATCAGTTGAACTTGAAGTGCAACTGATCTCAAATTCAGATAGAACTAACTAGAGATGGGGGTATTTACAGTATATTTGTATACGAATACAAATATCCCCATGCAGCTGGATTTAATGAGGGTACAGCTCCTGGAACCAGACCATCCACTCGGTGTCCAGCAGCAATGGCGGCAGCCTCATTTATCCTTCCAATCTCTTATGGAGTGCAGCTCTTTCCGCTCAGCTAGCCACTTGGCAGCCATGCAGGGAGACTCATCGTCCCTCCTCCTGCTTGGAGTGGCCAGCCAAGCGGGAAGAGAGCAGTGCTCCGGGAGTGATTGAAAGGATGAGCGAGACCACCACCGGATGTGTGAATGAATGGTCTGGTCCCATGAGCTGTACTCTCCTTAGGTCCAGCTGTGCGGGCATATTTGTGTACAAATGCCATATTTTTCTCTGTATATGGACCCCCCCCCAATGTATAGGACAACCCCCTCATTTTTACCATTGCCGAAGGTGGAGGAGCAGTCAATGGGCAGCATTGAGAGGCGGCTGAGCATGGCTGCTCCTTTGCCTCCGTCTCCTTTGCCTCTGTCTGCTACTGAGCCCGTGAGTGGTGCTGGAGGAGACTGCAGCATCAGCAGGAAGCACAGACAGGAGTAAAGAAGCAGCTGTGCTTGGCCGCCTCTTGCTGCTGCCCATTGACTGCTGTTGCCTCCGCCACCACCAGATCTTCACCTCCAGCGATAGTCTCCTTTGGGCAGGGGACAAGGCAGCGGCGTGAGCGTGAGCTGGAGGTGAGCCCTGGCAGCAGGAGGAGGTGATTAGATGGCAGCGGCGGCAGCCATGAGAGGCGGCCAAGCGCAGCTTCCTCTTTGCCTGCTGCTGCCGCCTTCCGTATATAAAACAACCCTCAGTTTTTTTCTCTAATTATGTTAGGAAAAAATGTCATTTTATACACAGAAAAATACGGTGCTCCCATCTCTAGAACTGACCCAAAGGAACCAGGGGCATGCCCCTTAACTATGCTGCTGCACAGAGAATCTGGTCTTTTAAGCTATCTGGGTTTGGGTGCATTGTAAACTTTGGTTTGCTGCTCTTCTATGTCACAGGAAGTGTAAGTCTTGTGCAGGCTTATGCTAGTCAATGACTGGCTGATGCTCCCTCTGCAAGGGATACTTGTGGGCAGGCTCTGATCTGAAGATTGTGCTTTCTCAGGGGATGCCGCCTTTCAGCAGGATACAGCGGCTTGATATCAGGACAGCCCCAACTATGCTGTCAGAGTAGGCAGTTTCTGTGCCTAAGCAATGATCCAAAGTGCTGGTGAATCTTTTTGTTAGTGAGAGGCAACTTGGTGACTGTCACGGGGGGTGGGGGTGCCGCCAAAGAGTTTGAATCCAAGCCTGGGTTTGTGTTCTCAGGCTGTCAGATCCTGTGGCTAGTCTCCTCCTTGACACTCGTGCAGAATATAACATCAGGAAGGTTTTGGTTTCTACCTGGAAAGAACTGGGTCTGCTTTTAAGGATTAACTTATCCTGTCGGTTCCTCCATAGGTAACACAGCCTCATGTTCCCCTGGATCATGCAGCCATATTTGCCTTCCGTCGCCAGTGCATTCCAAGGGGTACAAGTGTGCCTGCCCGGAGGGCATTTTTCTCCTGCCTTCTGGTGAATGCGCAGGTAGGTTTATCCTTAAACCTGGAAGCCATATGTTTTATGTTTGAGACAATACATCTCCTTCACCATGTACTGAGAATACCATTTTTAATTTATCAGCATTGGGCTTCAGATGAATTTATCTGTAGCATACTGCACATGCTAAATCTTACATAACTACTAATAGTTCTGTTATTTCAAGGATAGTAGAAATCTGTCTTGCCATTTTAAAGTGGCCATATGTAAGGGGTCGTGTGGTTGGGCTTCTCTTGTCTTCAATAAAACACCACCAGCAGATTTATCAAACAAGTTGTTGTCTTTATTTACTTCACCCAACGGGGCAGTAACCTTAACACGTTTATTTAACTGAGTCTCTTGTTCGAGCAACGGCTCTGACAAGGGCAACGGAAAGCTTTCTTCATGAACGTTCCCCAAACTCAGGTCCTAGGGACCGGCACAAACTTGTCTTTGACCCTCAATTCCCAACCCAAGGTCCATTTCACTCAGGAGGGGTAAGGTTTCTTCATCTCCCATCCATTCCCAGGACGGGTCTCCCTCTCTTGACGTCTCATCCCAAGGTCCAGGAAGCAGCCCATCTTCCTCAGCTCTTCTAAGTGCCATGCCCGGCGAGCTTCCCTTTCCTTAGCAATGGCTTCCTTCTCTTCCCTTATTTTTCTTCTCCATTCACGAGTCTCCGATTCACCCCAATATGACAGTTTCTGAGGCAAGCCTTTCTTTCTCCGACTCTCTGCCTCTGCTTTAGGTACCCTGACCTGCTCCCACTTGCCAGTCCACAGGTCCTGCATCCATATCCATTTCCAACCTCCTGGGATTCTATCTCGTTCTGTCTTCACTTCCCCCAGCCCTCCTTCATCCACCACCTCATGCACCTCCCTCCTTCCCGCCGATTCTTCCTTATATGGCTTAGATATTATTAACCCTTTCCATCTCTCCTCCAGCTCTTGGGTATCCACCGCCTTAGACACCCCTCCACCTGGTGGATTTACCCACTCTAAATCATGAGTATCAGAACTTAGATCCTTTTGGTGGCTTAGGGTAGTTGGTGGACTAGTCTGGGTTTGTTTAGAAGTCTTTATAAGAGACGGCTCGACCAGAAAGACCCGGTACTTCTGGTCTTTCCCTTCATACCAGTTCCAGCGGGGGAGTGATGTCTGATCCCCTGTCCTGTAACTGAGGTGGTCTGGCACAAATGTTACGGTTATGCACTGTCCTGTCATTTCTGATTAATGGTGACTATGAATTAGTGTCCCCAAAAAAGATTTAGTGCCCTGCTCACTTCTTGCACAATCAAGGCTGTCGCTCCTTTTCAGTCAACCTGTCAAGGTCAAAAGTTTGACACTAGAAAAAGGCTGAGAGCACTACTATCTGTCTAGATGGGTAGGATATAAATCTAATAAAATGAATGAATAAATAAATACAGAACTTCGTAACACTCGTTGGTAGTTTGTTGTGGTCCATCACAGCTAGCATTTATCCCTGAAAAGCTTAAATAGCAGTATGAAACAGATAATCATGACAATTACATCAAGGTTCATCAGGATATCAAGGCATAAGTGATTTACTTGTTCCTGCCTGCTTCACCAGGATTGTAGCTTTGAATCTTCTTCCATATCTCTTCAGAATATGAGATTAAATCAAATCACTATTTTTTTCACTCATAGTGAACAGAGACAAATGAGTCCAGGCATCATTAGTTTATCTATTTCTACAAGCTTTATTTACATTGTATCATGCTCCATAAGCTTAATGAGACTTCAATGTTGTTGCAAACGTGTAACTTTTCAGTTGTAAGCTTTTAACTAAAAAGTTGGACAAGAGCTTTAAATCTAATCTCATTCCAAAAATACAAGAGTTAATGGGGCCTTGGGGCCTTTTAAGGAGAAAGGCGGAGTAAAAATCAATAAATAAATAAGAGTTTATAGCCTTTAAAAGCTCATCTTATACATACATAAAAATTAATAAAAAAGAAATCTGTTAGTATTTTAGAATGTTTGAATATAGATGTGAAAATAAGTTTTTCTAAGTGTTCACCCATCCATTGGCCAGTTACATTCTATAAAGTTAACTTTCTCTGAGCATCTGGAAGTATTTGAGTATTGCATAGGAACTTGCATCTCTCTTCAAAGAACGACAAAATCAACAATACTGAGATACAACTATGTCAACATGGCTTAGATGGCTACTGAAATTCTAATTCAGTTCCTTTTGTAGGAAGAGCAATGTCCAGCTTGAACAACATAGAGGTGTTTAAAGAGTAAGCTACCATTGCAAGCCATTGGTGTAATCTTAGAATCCAAATTCATTTTTTCCAATGATTGTATTCTTCACACAGAGCTGAATGTCTTGTATTCAACTGCTAATCAGATCTACCAGCTGCAAATTGGTCGGCAAAGACAAGTGTTACAACAGCAGCAAGGACTCTTGCAGGCATGGCCAGACAGTATCTACCTCCAGGACATGGACTGGAAAAGGGGATTTATCTATTGGACTGATGACAAAGGGGAATTGGTGCGTTTCCATAAAGAGACAAAAGCAAAGCTCGTAATGCCTACAAACTCACCAGGTGAGAGTGCCTGTGATATACAGTACAAGAATTTAATGCCTTCTGCCGTTGGTAATTCCTAGATCTACAGAGGGAAAACAAACAGGAAAGAGATAATTGCTGCCTTAAACCCTTGTTTTTCTCCAAGTCTAAAGTGTTGACAAGTGCCGAAAGTGGCACCCTCTGTTCAGCATCACCTGGGGGCTAAGAAAACTGAAAGGTAGGCATCTAGATTTGACTCCTTATCAAATGGGAACTGTCATGGTTTTGGAGGCAGAAAACAACTGTGTGCACAGCAGAACCTTGTGCGGATGATCAAAACAAATAGGATTGTGGCCAAAGGGGGTGCTCTAGCTGCAAGTAATTGATTGTGATGGAGCTCATGTGGAAGAAGTGAGTTCAGTATCCAAAGCAACATGGCACTGCCACCAAAGTGCCATCAAAACTTAAGCAGGTGATACCTAAGAGTAACAATCTACTTGTTTTGCAGCAGTAGGTGCCTACATAAATCTTGTAACTTGGCTAAGGATTAAAACAGGGAAAGAGAAAAATAATTATATACTGTATTTCTCTTTTCTTTGCTTAGTGTGTGCAGCAAGTGTTGATTTGCCTTCTGGAGACGTATATTGGCTAACATGTGAAAGAACTCAGATTATGGTTACTAGTTTTTCTGGCATGATGACCAAGCTTCTCTATCAAGTGGCAGGCAAGGATATTATACAGCATCTGTTCCTAGACTGGCAGAGAGCATCCTTGTACTGGCTTGAAACTGGCAAATCTATTCAAAGAATGGACCTCGACGGCAGGAATATCAGAGAAGTGTGGAATGAAACATTGACAGAAGAAGTCCTTCTTACCTTGGATTCGAGTTCCTCCAGCTTCCTCTGGACTTCCAAAGAAATGGGTAATGGCTCCTTTTTAGGTAGCTGATGCTTGTTTGTTCCATGTAGTTCCCATTACGTGTGCAGTAAACATTACTGCTGCAGAACCCTATCAAACTAGTTTTTCTCCATGCCCTGAGGGAAAAAAATAAGTCTTCTACTAGGACGTTAGAATTTGGAACAAAACATGATGGGGTGTGGGACATAAGGCAAAAAGATGAGCTCCTGACAAAAATCTGAACAAAGCATTAGGATTCACAAAAACCTAGAGAACATGAAATATAAAGAGAAAAAGTGAAGAAGTATTTAATATAGCAATGTATTCTCTTTTTTTCTTTCAAAAAACATAAAGCATGATGAGAAGAGATTGTTAAAAACTCAACAAACATGAGTTTTTAACACTAGTTATGTATATACAAATAGTAAACAACAATACATAATACAACCACCTGAACAAATATTAAACAAATACATTTTTTGATTTAAAAGTCTTCCGCGGTGGTATAACATAGGTTTCCACATACAAGAGCAAAGTTTCTAAAAACAAAACCTCTACCAGTGTGTTTTAACTTCAAGTTATTTTGAATAATTCTTAAAGCTTACCTCTGTCCAGGAACAGTAGAACAAAATGGAAGGGCAGTCTCCTCCTTTACTGTTATTAGTGAGAACCCATATTTGGTGAGTTGCTGCTTGTTGCTCTTATTGTGTACCCCGGCGCACAAGGAGGATACAAAGAACAGGTTGCAGCTCTTTGCGGTTGTAGTTTGTGACATGGCACTTCACTGCTTTTAAATGTTTTAAATCTGTTTTCAGTAGATTTAGTCTGTTATAAATGGCTTTGGGAACTGTGCAGAACAAAAAGGTAATAAGGTGATCCTTTAAATAAATAAATAGTAATCCAGGCAATACAAAATAGCAGAGGGTGCAGACAAGATGAGAAAGTAATTGTGGCAGCCAGCTTGCTGCATCTGCTTATTCACAAAGGTTAGAACCAACAGTTTGATTTTAACTTAAATCAATTTGTTAGGGGTGGAAAGACCAGAGGCTAGCTAGCTCAGCCTAATTTTATCTCAACTTTCCCCCACTGTATTTAAGTGGAGAAAATACTTGAACTTAAATGGCTGGTTCAGTTTAAGTTGGATCAGCAGTAGTTTCTAATGCTACCATCAGCCCTTCTACGTTTTGCTCTCTTTGGGGACATTGGCAAATGGTGGCGACCAAATGGTTCATTGATCTAATATTTTAAAGAATCAGTCAAGCTGATTCAGAGTGGAAGTGGCAGAGAAGAGAAGCAGGAAGCAGCAGTCAGCCAAAAAATGAGGCGGTGAGTGGAGGGGTTGGGTAGCTGGGAATGCTATTGTGCCCCATGATCTCTAAGGCAGGCAGGGGAAGATGTATGGCCATCATCTTGTAGTGAAAGAACTGAGAAAAGGAACTGAGTAGAGAGCATAGGTGGTGTGAAAAGAAAGCAGGCAGTGATTTTTAAGCAGTGAGAGGAGAGAAGATTATAAAGAAACACATGTTCCTGGGAAGAAAGGTATTCCCACTTGGAAAGGGTTGCATAAAAATGACGATAAAAGGTAAAGGTTCCCCTTGACATTTTCAGTCCAGTCGTGTCCGACTTTAGGGGGCGGCGCTCATCCTGTTTTTCAAGCCGTAGAGCCAGCGCTTGTCCGAAGACAGTTTCTATTGTCACATGGCCAGCGTGACTAGGGAGCGCCGTTTTACCTTCTCACCGAGATGGTACCTATTTATCTATTCGTGTTTACATGCTTTCGAACTGCTAGGTTGGCAAGGAGCTGGGACAAAGCAATGGGAGCTCATTCCGTCACGAGGATTCGATCTTACGACTGCTGGTCTTCTGACCCTGCAGCACAGGCTTCTGCAGTTTAGCCCGCAGTGCCACGATAGTCTCCGTTATATTATTAACCAACAGAATTAATGCATCTCCTTAGAAAGATTTAGTAGCACCAACCAACCATATTGAATAATTGTTTGGATTATATGTCAGCTGACGACAGATGTTAGAGAGAGCCTGTGAGTCTCCCTTACTGAGCTAGGTTTACTGCAGGAGAACAGTGACCATGAACCTTTCATCCAACTTCGTCTGATCCCAAATAAATCCCTTCCCCATGTTGGTGTTGGAGAGAGGTGACAGAGGCATCTTTTCAGTTTTGTGAGATTATATTATGAAGGAATCTCATGCTTCGGTACTGAAGATCAGTTGTCAACAAAGCAAGGCAAGTTTGCATACTCCCAAAGATGAGAAAAGCACCTGCTATATTTAGATATTTTCATTAGTTAAGGATTTTTCTAATCACAGGTTGTTTCTCATACAGTATTTAATTCTGCTACCTTCTAGCAAATGTTTATCTTATCTGCAAGTTTAGATGGTAATTTAACATCCATGTAACTTGTACAAATTCACCACCAAAACATAAATGGATTAGATTTTTAAACAATATTCTAACTAAACTGCTAACTCCTTTCTGCTAACTTTTCCATCTCTCCTGTTATGTCTCTAAACAAGTAGATATTCGTGGTGGGGAGAGGGTATGTTTTGGATTGGAAGAAGTAGGATGAGAAGTTGGTGGTCCCTGTTCTACTGCAGTTAATCTAGCTTGGGGAGGGACAGCTGGTTTTTGATTGGGGATGGGATTGACTTGGAGGTGGTAGCAAACTTCAAGGTGTTTTGTACACGCAATGAATTATATGATGTAGCTAAGACACTAAGAAGGTTAAAATAAAATAGTTATGCTATTGCAGGTTGATAGAAAAAGGTGGACACTAAGAAATCAATTGGGATGGGTTTTTTTCCAAATTTTTTAAAAATCATAATATTGAATATGCTTTTTCAAACCACACAATGCTTCCTTTGAGATCTAGACAGGCTTTATAGAGACACACCCTGTGAATTGAGAATTGCTAGTTTAGAGCAAGAAATGCTTGTGATATAGATGCTGCAATAAATTACTATGTACATTTAATATCTTATTTCTCTATAAAACTAAGATTTCAGAACAGGACACATCCCTAAGTCACCCAAGTAGAACTTCTCTGACAAGCTGTGTCAGTAGAAAAAGCCATTTATTTAACAGCCTTGTGTGATTATAGAGGGTAGTCCAATCTTCCGGCTTGGTATTTGCAAGTTGTTTGAATAAAAGCACATTGAGTGCCATAGTTCTAGTGGTAATATCTTAAACAGAAAGGAAAAAAAGAGATTGTCAGGTTAATAAAACAGTTGATCTTAAAATCCATCCACTCCAAAGCAGGCATACGATACAAAAGGAGTTTGTCTTCTCTGCAAATGCAGAAATTAGTCTTTATTGGATTAGGAGAACCTCTTAACTCATGATGGTGTTTATAGCTGCACGGTTTAACTGACTTAAATGCATTAGGAGTAAATGTCTGGAATCCGACAAGAAGTACTATGGGGTGCCAGTTGCCATGGTTGGCTGATTTGTAGGCTAACACATCTGGAGACCAATAAGTTGGCGAATGTTGTCCTGGAAGATCTTTTCCTTCTGAAAATGCCTTGCAGGACTTAATGGGGAGCCTTGGACTGCTGACCAAATGCTGCCTCTGAATCCAGTCTCATTCCTCAGGCCATGCTCTTCCCCTTGTCTATAGTGCCTCCCTACTGTTTTGGTTCTGGTTGCCCTTGCTGTTACAATGCTTGATCCCGTTAGCTTTCAACCAAGATAACGCAGACCTGGGAGAAAAGCTTTTCATGGTCCTGTTCTTCCGTACCAAAATACAGAAGCTGCTTCTATAATCGTAATACAGAACGTTTGACGATGGATTCAAGGATTAGTAGGTTGGCAACACGAGGTGCAGATCTGAAGGTCTTCCGCTACCTATCCTAGTCAAGTACTAATGTCTAACCTCTCGGTTTGCAGAACTGAAGATCCTGAATCTCGTCACACGCAGAGCATATAATCTGAAGGAGAACTGGACCCACGAAGTGGCAGCAGCTTACGGACCTTACCTGGTGACAGTCAACAAAACGGCACTGACCCTCTGGAACAGAAGATTGATGGCGCCATCTGCTGTGCATGTAGCTAATGTGCGGAAAGCCATGTTTTTTTTCAACACAGACTCGGAGACTGGTGAGCTGAACATTCTACACCGTCCATGAGGGTTTAGGCTGTGCGCTTTGCATGCGGGAGAGATTTGACTTGTCTTCAGCTCTTATAGGTGTTAACTGCTTATAAAGCAAATACTCCTCCTTATGTGCTTTCGCCACTACAGATAGGCCATTTTTGTGTGTGAAAGACTAACCTATGGGAAAGACTGCTCGGTTAGTGGCTATGACCAGCCAGACTTAGTCTCCCTGTTTGGGATCCTGGGTCCCGCTAGCAGAGGTGTAACAGATGCCTCATTATGTGCCCTGTGTGCGAATTTCCTCAACATGAGGCTGGCCAGTGCTGGAACAGGTTGCCCCCTTGGTCTAACTCTCCCAAGTGCTTCTGCTGTTGGGTGCCTCATAGCGGGAGTTCAGATCTCAAATCAGAAAATGAGAAAGGCTGAGTTGTTAGATCATGCTCCGTGCTCCATGTGACCCACAGATGGCCTGTAGGACATGTGGGCTTTGGGGTGTGCCAGTTGCCCAGCTGGCACCCTCTCTTCTCCAATTGGAAGCATCCGGTACCAAGTGACTTATTAGCGGTCCGACCTCTTCCTTGGAAAGCTGCTTCCAGTTCAACACAACTATTCAACAGGGTAGAACATTCAGACGGCCTGTTTAAGTAACTCTTCACATATCAGCACTTGAGCATATGTAGCTTCTTATAGCATATTTAGGTGTAGTGCTAATTAGGTCTTCTGAGTATTGTGAAAGCTTAGTGACACCTGCTATGGGGAGGCACTTTATACGGTTGTTGATGAAACAGTAAGTCTTTGGGTGAAGCCGAGGCAACAACATGCTCCCTTCAGCCTGGTCTCTGCTTGAATTTCTGGGAGGAGGCGGCTAAAATCTGGGGAAATTCCACCAAGTTTGATCTGTTAACACCTGCCTGAACAGAAGGGAAGATTAAGAGTTGCTGTGGCATGTAGTAAGCTTAGGTGCCTGCTTTTCTGTCCATCGATTGGGCAGAAGCAGCACACATTCAACAGACCGGAGGCAAAACAGCCCCAAGCCATGCAGCCCAGAGTACCTGCCGCCATATTATTTTGTAGCGCTGCTGCTGTCCTCTTTGTGGGAAGGCTACCACAAAAAAGGACGACCCTAGCTGGTCTCCATTTTGTGAGACAGATGTTCTGCATTTCCCTATAAAACTTGAAAGTTTGCATAGCCACTGCATGAATGATCATTGCTCCCTGCTTGAAGGATGTTTCTGGCTTTCTTGCTGCAGGGCAGACGGTTCCTGTTGTACAACCTGCAGTTATCTGGACTGCTGTATTGCTGCCTCCTAAAACCACTACTAAGGCAGTGCCACAAACAGCACAGGCAAGAGCAACATCCTCCAAAAGAACAGTGCTACCAACAACAACAAAAACAACAACTACTACTACTACGACTGCACCTACCACAGCAAAGCCAACAAGACAGCGGACAACTCGGACGACAGTCTTGGCAACTCTCGCCTGTGGGTGGGCTGAATTCTCTTGCCGAAACGGGGAAGAGTGTGTACCTTATGAATACCGCTGCGATACAGAGGAGGACTGTGCGGATGGTTCTGATGAAGACCACTGCGATGAGTTCTGTTCTGAAACAGGTACTCCCATCGTGCATTCTATAGGTCAATGATTCCCAGCCTTGGGTTAGTCAGCTGTCTTGGACTGCAACTCCCAGAAACTCCAACCAACACAGCGGGTGGTGAAGGCTTTTGGGAAGTGCAGTCCAAGAACATCTGAGCTACCCTAGGTTGGGAACCACTGCTGTGGGCCAAGAACTGAAACAAAATGCCCTTGGTGGTTTATCTATACTCAGGTTCCAGTTTGAACAGATAACAGTAAAAGTAAAGCAAAGTATGTTGCTTATACAGTGGTGCCTCGCTTTACGATTGCCCCACATTATGACAATCTTTTTGCGATCACAATTGTGATCGCAAAACGATGGTCTGAATGGGGTTTTTTGCTTTGCGATGATCGGTTCCCTGCTTTGGGAACCGATTCTTCGCAAAACAACGATTTTCCTCCAGTTGATCGGCAGTTTCAAAATTGCCGCCGGTTAAATAAAATGGCTCCCCGCTGTTTTCTGGGACAGATTCCTCACAAGACAACCACCAAAAATGGCCGCCCTATGGAGGATCTTCGCTGAACTGCAAGTTTCCAGCCCACTGGAATGCATTGAAGGAGTTTCAATGCGTTTCAATGGGCTTTTTATTTTCGCATTATGTTTTCTACAGCGATTTCGTCGTAATGCGAGGCACCACTGTATACTATCCTATAGCACTTAAAGGGCTCTCTGGGCAGTTTACAGTTTAATTATGCAGGGTATGCATTCCCCACAGACACACAGCAAGCCGGGTACTCAATTTTCTTGGAGGGCTGAGTGAACCTTGAGCCAGCTACCTCGGATTGAACCTGGGCTGTGCACAGAGTTTTGGTTGGAGTACTGCAGTTTAACCACTGTCCTCCTTGGCAAAGAAATTAACCTTCTCCAAGAAATTTGCACACAGAGCACTTAAGGAACAGATGACACTTCTTCCACCCTGCTGAGACAGGAAACAAGCCATTGGGCTACTGACAGGCTGTTTCAGGCTTACAGGACTGCTTAAGTAACACATAATGGTTCTTGTCAAAGAAGGTGATTACTCTTGGTAGTTTAGTTGATATCACGATAACTTTCATAATAAAGGAGATGTGCCAAAGCTGCATGTTCTAGTCTTAAGGGAGGAGCAGGTGCAAGTTTAGCCACTAACCTGCCCTCTTGACTTAGGTGTTCATGTTTGAGAGAGGAGGAGGTGGAACCTCCTGAGACTGGAGCTAACAGAAGAAGAGGCTCCCTGCCAGTATGCATGGCATTGTTGGCTAGGGAGCTGTCAGTGATACTGACTCTTGGAATACAGGCTAATTGCAGCTGTTCTGAACAAGATTTGTCTGTTCACCAAGAAGAAACTGAGTGAAGGAATCCAAGTTTGTCAGGTAGACTTGATGTTGAGTTTGGTTGGAGTAAAAGATGACATAAGGTAAGAGTTCACAAATTGTTTTCCCAGAAGTTTCAAAGACACTGGAGAACAGAAGTTATCTGGGATTTACCAAGCAATATCTAATAGAAAGCTGCTTCCAGTTCAACACAACTATTCAACAGGGTAGAACATTCAGACGGCCTGTTTAAGTAACTCTTCACATCTCAGCACTTGAGCATATGTAGCTTCTTATAGCATATTTAGGTGTAGTGCTAATTAGGTCTTCTGAGTATTGTGAAAGCTTAGTGACACCTGCTATGGGGAGGCACTTTATACGGTTGTTGATGAAACAGTAAGTCTTTGGGTGAAGCCGAGGCAACAACATGCTCCCTTCAGCCTGGTCTCTGCTTGAATTTCTGGGAGGAGGCGGCTAAAATCTGGGGAAATTCCACCAAGTTTGATCTGTTAACACCTGCCTGAACAGAAGGGAAGATTAAGAGTTGCTGTGGCATGTAGTAAGCTTAGGTGCCTGCTTTTCTGTCCATCGATTGGGCAGAAGCAGCACACATTCAACAGACCGGAGGCAAAACAGCCCCAAGCCATGCAGCCCAGAGTACCTGCCGCCATATTATTTTGTAGCGCTGCTGCTGTCCTCTTTGTGGGAAGGCTACCACAAAAAGGACGACCCTAGCTGGTCTCC